TTTTTTTTTTTCTTCATTTAAGTTTTACCAAATCTTGAATTGTTTTCCAAAACAACCAAGTGAAGTTCAAGTTATTTCTGACAACAGTTATCTTAGAGCCCTTTGTCTGATAATCGTTTTTGCAAATAAAACTAGTTTATTTTAATACTGCTTCGTTTATCAGTTCCGAAGACAAATTGACACAATTTTGTGAAATGTAATAAGTCTTCCCAAAACCATTATTACTATTTGTTTGTTTTCATAATAAATAATATTATCAATACACTTATTCAAATTTCAAAACTCATATCCCAGCAGTTAGATCTTCAGATTATGGGAAATTTCAAATTTCAATATTTGAACTAAAAAATCTTGAGATGTATAGATTACTAGGCAAGATTATTGAAGCAAATTTCTACGCGTTGCTGGTTCGCCAATAAGTCATAAAATTTTGCACTAATTTACAAAGTATCAAACTCTGTCTGTCAGTAGAAAATGATTTTTGGCTTTTTTTCAATTATAGTCGTCTTAAATCAAGAACAAGATTTTATCGTATTTGTTAAACTACAACAGTGCTGGTCAGTCTACTTTAAAATCCTGGTCGTTTTGAAACATAATTTGTTGTGATACGTATCTCAAACGCTTGTTTTTTTCACGCTGCATCATCTTTCATCGGTTACCACAAGCTTGTTTATAATTAGCAAGGCAAAAAACAGCTAAGAAAAAGAATGACGATTACTTTGAAACATCTCAGGGACCTTAACAGTGGTACAGCAGAGCTAACTAATTTAATTTATGTCTTATCACTTCCAAATAGGTTAGTCAATTGAATCTTGCTGAAAGTTCTTTTAAAGTCGATTCATTTACTACATATTAATCTCTTACTTCTGGTGTTTCATAATGATTCTGGACTTTGGCTTTGTTGAGAATTCTTTAATCAGTAGACTGACCAAATAATTCAAAAAACTAGCCTATTAATGAGTTACCAAAATCAAGTCACAAACCACGTCCTCATTATCATTCAATTAACCAGCATTTCATTCAGAAAATTACACACTTTGCACAAAATATCAAACAATAAATTATTTTTTAGAACTATTAGAAAAACTATAAACCTTTTGGCTTGCAAAAACGGTCCTAAACTCACTTGCAACTTTTTATTTTTTTCTTCCAGAAATTATTGTCTTCTGATTGACACTTTTAGTTTTGTACTTATAACCTGCATACTTTTAGTAAGAAAAACTCTACATAGCAAACTCGGAATACAACAGCTATGCGGTCTTACTGTACTAGCTTGGTTTTGGTCACCTAATCATTTTTGGAGAAAAAATGTTTTTTTTCCCTTTCTTAATTATAAAATCGTCAAAGCAATCCAATCCTTCCTCTTGCAAAAGTCTTTTTTATCACTATTAAAACGGAGCAGTGTTAAGGAGAAAATTTTAGAAAATACTTTTGGAGCCATATCTGAAAAAATGATAAGAACGCGGCTAACCCTTCTTTTGTAACTGTAAGAAAATGCGAGGTTCAAATAAAATCTTTATAAACTTTTATTTTAGGATTTTACTTTATTGTAATATTTGTTCAGTTTACTGTGTTACTGCCTCTTCGGCCTCTTCAGATAGGTTTGATGGAAATCTATTTTTCATGCACAATCTTATTCTTTATGGTTCTTTGCAAAGTTCAACATATAAAGCGATTGGATGGATACGTTAAAAAAATAAAAAAGAAACTGATTGAAATTACACTGGAAGAAGTTTTTTAGCACTTTCATTTTTCAGATGTTACTCGGTCAGTTACGACAGCACTGGAGACTCCATCTTCAAAATAGTGTTGAAATATTATATCAGTAGTGCGCGAATACTTTATTCCACTCACCACCTTACAACTCACCCATCGATTTTTGTTCCTGAACGACTTCCATGCTAAACTGCAAGTGATGCACTTCTGTGAAAAATTTGAACCACCATTGTCTTTTCAATTCATTTCTGAAACGTAACCCTCGTTTTTACTTTTTCTTTTTTTGTTTCACAATCTTTCAAGTTACCTCCGGCGCAAATTGGTACCCGTTCAGCAGTAGTGCAAAAACATGGGAATTAAAACAAACTTTCAAGGAACGAAAAAACCAAGCATATCTTCTGAAAACTTCAGTCTGTAGAAGATCAAACGAAGCAGCGGGAAAACAAACAACTAATAGGTCCTGCCTCCCGCCAAAAGACTCCCAAGTCTTTGCAGGCCGAACTAAAATTGAATGTTCCAGTACATCAAACAGCTCAGAAGCCCAAGAAAACTACACTTATATCACGTTGATTATTGAAACCGCTTCGGATAATTGATTTCAGTAATGTTTTAGGAAAAAACCGCTTAACCATTACGCAATAGTCCTTTAACGTGTTTAGAAATTGGCGTATTGCCAACTCTGCAAATATAAAAATTTCACCGCACGGAGAAGATTTCTGGTTTGTAGGAACAAAACGGCATTTCTCCTTTCTAAGCTTATCCGATCTCGTTTGCCATATTCAGAACTGTGGTGGCAATCAGTTTTTTCTTTTCTTCGATCCTGTATTCACTCACGAACTTCACAAGTTTTCACCGTGATTTTTTTGGAGACACTTTTTGTATGTGTATGCTAAAATGTGAATTTTTTTGTTTTATAGGAAGGGCATTTAGCCTCATAAATATAGCATGGCAGACGCCAAGGCTCTTCCTGTATTCGCCTTCACAGAAGAAAGGGTACAGGTGCAGCAGTTGCGTGGCTATTTGAAGGAACACGGAGCATCTATTGATGAAGAAGGTTTCTGAGTAGTATTACCGTCTTTTGGTTTTACCACTTCTTTTCCTTTGTCTAGTTTCAGATCGCCCAGAAAAGTTGTATTTCAGGTCCTGCTGATTTCGCCGATAATCTTCTTGGACTTGTGAAAGAATTGAGCCTTATTGGTAGTTTAGAATGCGATAAAGAGACAGAAATGATTTTGAGTTCAGTGTCATCCCTTATTGTAGTTGTAGCTCCAGAAGCTGCAATCACTATTGTTGATGAGTTATGTAAGCAGGTTTCGTCTGACAAATTTCAGGGGATAGGATGGTCGTCCAATGTAAGTGGTTAAAACAAACAGCAGTTTTCTAAAGACTTTTTTTTGTTTCTTTACTATCGTGTCGGCAAATAATATGAGTTCCGCTAACTTATTTAAGGCTGCTTTTTATATCATTTCTTAGTCGCCTGTGTTTTGTACCTTTTTTTACCACTTTTTTGAGTGAACAGGGAAGAGAGTAAGGGGTGAGAGGAGGCGGGCACTTCCTTAAAATTTTTTGAATTGGATTGTCAAAATTACCTTATTGGCATTTTCAGCAGCTCTGTTGACTTTCTAAATAATTATTCATCTTTTCTTTACAGAAATTTTGCAGATTGGTGCAGCTGTGCGCATTTTGTCAAATCTGTTCTATGGATTTAATACTTTCCCTCGTGTTCAATATGCCTTGTATGTTGCATTGGTAAAATTATGTGGTCGAGCAAGGATAATTGGTGATTTAGATGTCAGTCCGGATAAGGTTAACGAGTATGTTAAGAAGTGGAATTTGAACAAAGACCAGCAGAGAAATTTACTGCGGGATATCCATGCAGCTTTAATTAATGACCAGAGGTCTGATCAGGCCGCCAAGGTATTACTTATTTTTTTTGACGTGTATTACAGGTTAGTTTTTAGATCTCGGCTTTGACATTGTCATTTTTGTTAAGTACTTTAACAGTTTACAGACTATGATGGCGTTGTTGGGAACGTATACCGATGAAGACGCTTCATCAGCTGTAGATGATGCCCATGAATGTGTGCGAACAGCCATTGTAGATCCAAAATCGTTTAGCTTTGATCATCTGTTACGACTCGAAGCTGTTCGAGTATTGGGAAAGGTTTTTAATTTTCAATAATCCACTATTATCTTTCATGTTCTGGCTTTGGGCCATATATCTAATACATCCTCTTTAGAAAGATCCTGTCATGTATGAGATGTTGAAATTAGTTTCCGAGGGTACTTTAAAAGATTACCACACGTTCGTGCAAAAGCATCCAAATTTTGTGAAGGAAAAACTTCATGTGGAGGAGTCTGTTCTTGTGAAGAAAATGCGACTGTTAACATTGATGTCGATGGCTGAAAAAAATAATGTATGTTTACTCCTTCCTGCCTTTCTGATTACTCTTTTGGTTGACAGTTGATTAGAACGAATGGCTTTAGACCATATCATTAAAAGACTTGGCAAAGGAAGTTGATATGGAGGATGGAGTGGAACTCGAGGAGTTTATTATCGAAGCTGTTCAAGTCAATGCTATAACTGTAAATTTTTACCACTTAACACTTAACACAAATAGTCCTTATATCTGTTGCAAATGAAAGTTTGCATCTTTGTGTATTTCCAGAAAACTTTTTTTAAAGTTTTCTTTAGTAAATTTCCTATACCTTTGGCTTTTAAACTACATTTCGTAGGACTTCACTAAACTTTTAAAGGGCAAAGTTGACGAGATTCGTCGCGAGTTACATATCACTTCTTTGCAACACCGGTCTTTTGGTCGTCCGCAGTGGGAATTATTGCAGAAAAGGCTGACGATGCTAATAGATAACTTGAAAGAGGCTCATAAAAATATAGGAAGTGTTCTTCCACATGATGAAGCCACTTGACTCCTGTTTGTTGTAATTTAATGTTTTTTTAGAGGGTCGGTTTGACTTTGAATCTTCTGGTCTCCAGGGTTTTAATTTTTTTTCGTGTAGTTTTCGTTACCAACTGATCACACTTTTTTTTTTAGTGATTTGCAGCATGTTAAATTCTGTTTTGGGCACGTGGCAAAGCTGAAAGTTTTTAGTGTAAAAGTGTTTTATGCCTTTCGTTTCCTCAACAAAAAAGTGGAAGGTAGAAAATCTGATTTATATTTTTTTGTGTTTTTTCTGTTTCCTTGTTATTTTGGCAAATTCTATTGTTTTTATGTGATATTATAGTTGTTTTTATGAAAGAGGGTTGTTGATTAAATATTTTTATATTCTTACTGTGGTTCATTATCGTTGTTTTATTTCAACTTCCTTAATTAGTTTTCATGTGCAAGTAATCTTGTCGCCTAACCTCTGTACTGGATTTTGCTGCTCTTCTTTTTTTATCAAAAGAGGTAGTTCCATTTAGTTCAGGGGCAGCTTTTTTCTAAAATATGGCCTGTGAGACGCCTGCATCTACTGGTGGGGCACCTGCTATGGGGCTGCCTCTGGGAACTGCATCAGGTGCTGCGGGTGCCGATGAGAACTACGACAAGGATGAAGTTCTAAATTGGATTCTTGATCTTAACGACCCCAAGAAGCGTGAAATGGCTCTACTTGAGTTAAGGTAGTATAAGGTTAAACTTTTTTTGTTTATCTTTACGACTTTTACTTGTTGGACACTGGCATTCGCATCAATTTTTTATTTTAATTTGTCAGCAAGAAGCGTGAAGTGGTTCCGGATTTACCTTTGTGGCTATGGTATTCTTTTGGCTCAATAGCATCGCTACTTCAAGAGGTTGTTTCAATTTACCCAGCTATCATGCCTCCAACCCTGACAGCTCAGCAGTCCAATCGTGTTTGCAACGCCTTGGCTTTAATGCAGTGCGTAGCTGCTCACAAAGAAACTAGAACTCCGTTCTTACAAGGTTGATTACTGCATTTCTTTTCATCAAATCCTGAAGCAGCTGATTGTTTTAATTGTTACATCTGTAGTTTTCCGTGTGGTAAGTTGCTATTTGAGTAGTGGGTGTTTTTCACAAAATTTCACTTGGAGGAGAAAACTGTAGAAATATCTGGATGTCTTCCATTTTACTACTTAGTTTGTTTACTTAGATTTCAGCTCATATACCTTTATTCCTTTATCCATTTCTGCACACGACGAAAACGAGCCGTCCTTTCGAGTATCTGCGGTTGACATCTCTTGGTGTAATTGGAGCTTTGGTGAAAACTGATGAGCAGGTGCCGCATCTTATCACCCATGACTTTTAGAAATAAATATTTGTTTAAATTTTTTGTAGGAAGTGATACAGTTCCTGCTTTCTACTGAAATTATTCCGTTGTGCCTTAGAATCATGGAGAATGGGACAGAGTTGTCCAAGACAGTTGCAACATTTATTCTTCAGAAAATTTTATTGGATGAGACTGGTTTGTCGTATATATGTCAAACTTATGAAAGATTTTCTCATGTTGCAATGATACTGGTAAGCATTTTTTTCGTTCCTTTCTTATTAATTCGAGGTATTTTTCTCAATTTGAGTTAGTAATGTGATTATTTTTTTTTTTGAGCTACTTTCTGATTTTGATTTTAGGGCAAAATGGTGCTACAGTTAGCGAAGGACCCTTCTCAACGCCTCCTGAAGCATGTTGTGCGTTGTTATAGTCGTCTGTCTGATAATCCAAGGTTTTATGTCCTTTTCTTTTGTCCAGTTGTTGTAAGCCAATCTATTTCAGTTACCCTTGTTAAAAATCACCTATATAATGTTTGATCATTTTGTTTAAGGGCTTTACAAGCTTTGCGTCAGTGCCTTCCAGACCAGCTTAAGGATGATACTTTTGCTAGAGTATTAGAGGAAGATAAGTCCACTCAGCACTGGCTGCGAGAACTTGGCAAAAATATAGCTAGTTAGTGAATTACTTTATTGGTACTTTTATATTTGGGAAACAAAACATTCTTAACGTGCATAGGGGCTCTCATAACAGTAACTGAAGGGAGAATTAAATTATGCCACTCAGCTTTAAGAACTTAAGCAAAGTAAAAGATATTAGATCAGAAGTCAAATTGTATTGAATTTTGAGAGTAGTTGGGGCTTGGGCGTCTCGTCGTCTTGACGACAGTATTGAAAATTTTTGATTCGATAACTGATGCTTGAAACTCTTTTAGATTTTGCTAAAGGCGTGACTTTAGATTAGGGTTGAGACATTTGGCTGAGAGAGGTGAACCGACAGAGCTCAAAAGGTTTTAGTTTTAGGATGGATAACTAGTATGACATTTTTATCGAGCCTTGAAAGGAATTCTAGTGCATATCACTTTTCGATCTTCAGTTCTATCCCTATAGCTATTATTCTTTTTCATGTTAGGTCTATATATTTTATTTTTTAGAACTTTTTGATACTCCATAACCATATTTTTTGAGGCCCACCTTACGTTTTTTTCAATGTAACATAGGTCACTGTTATTTATAAATGCTGCTTTAGGCTTACCTCCGCAGGAAACGTTGCAAATGGCCATAAACCGTTAATGTTTTGCTTTTGTTTGGTTCCTAAGAAACTGGTGGATTGTTTACCCCTTCGTTTGTTTTATTCTCTTATTATAGTTCTGTTTATCCTAACAGTGAATGTGCTTCTGTTGGTTACAAATTTGTTATGTAATATAAAGTATGCAGGCTTTTTTTGTTTCATCATCTGTAAAGGCAACGTTCTAATTTCAACTGAGCTCATTTTCATACAGGTTCGGATATGAAGTGTGAACTGAATCATATTTGAGAAGAATTATGAACAGATTAATTTTAACATCTTCCTTCGTTATTCGTATTTTTAGCTTAAATTAGAAGTATTTATGTGATAATTAGCTTAAGTTGTTTTCCGCGCCAAAAATTTTTATTTTTTTTTT